GAGAGACAAAATACGAGGATATGTGAGGGTTTGCAATGCAACAATCATCGTGATGAGTGGGAATAGGAGAGAGAGAGAGAGAGAGAGAGAGAGAGAGAGAGAGAGGGGGGGGGAAGCTGATTGTCTTTTTATTAGTTCGGGATTGTAGTTTTATTTGTAAAACTAGAGAGTATTTATTTGATTTATGTGACAAAGCAGGGGGTTGTTGGTGTAGTTTTCCTTTAGGGGAGCAGAAAGAGTTTTCATAATTAAAAATGTTGCTATTAAAAATCTGGAAATCATAATCAATTGCTTTAAAAACTAGGAATTGCCTTTTCTTTCTTTATAGTTTTCGAATCAATCATTAATTTCAGATGTATGAGAGACTTGCATTACAATCCACAACGATCAGTTCAATCACCACCTAACTTCCCAATATTGCCTTGATAACGAATCCCAAAATTAATATTACCCATTAATATCATCATTAGTAAATATATTGAATTGAATATTTGCCACAAACTATTATTCCATTTTAATCTAACAAAATCGTACGAATATGGATCGATCCATAGATGTTTCTTTCTTCGTCCCCATCACTCAACATCTTTCTATTTCCAAATGTTGGATGATGTACATTGCTTTGTATGATATTTTTTGTTGTATTTGTTTTATTTTTTATTTTTGTATACAATTATATACATATTACTTAATTTTAATTATTTTATATAAAAATTTTGTATTCAATTTTCTAAAATAACCCACATTGCCACCTTTTTAGATTAAGAATACAATATGTGAATTTCAATCTTTGACGAGGTAAATCACCCCAACTACTAAAAAAAGAAGAATCAGATCTCAACACGGTATAACTCACTACACAAATTAGGGTAATGCTATGCTATTGAAATTTTTTTAGTACCACATTAAAAAAAATGTTTTTAGCCATAATTCTAAGATTATAAAAATAATAGACTAATAAAATCTTTACATGTGCAATGTTCTTAAAGCGGAACTATAGATCCTACAAATTATGAGTTAATTAAACATATACCATATTTTTAAAATATTTTTATTGCTGTACCGTTATTTTTAATTTATTTGTCAAACTACAATACTTTTTAAAACACTTTTAAGTAAAAATGTGTTTGTTAAACACGTTTTCAAAAAGTATAGTAGTTTAATAAATAAGTTTAAAATAAATATAAAATAATAAAAATATTTTTAAAATGCAGTATATGTATAATTAACTCTACAAATTATTGCAGGGAAAGTAATGGAAATGACTTAAGATTCTCTTCTAATTTTTTTCTCCGCAAATAAAATCCTTTTTTTTTTGATAATTACTTTTCTGGTCATTAAGAAAAAGAGGAAAGAAAACTTCAAGAAGATTGCATAAGTGTGGTCAAGAAGAGTTGCTAGAGGACTAACTCAATGATATCTTTATTGGTGATTAATTTGACTTGTTAAGCGTCCGACCCATCGAGTACAACCCTAATTTAAAATTAATTCAAGTTCAACCTTTTTATATTCTTCCATTTATCCTAATGTTTCAATATTTAATCTTACAATCCGATTCAATGTAAATTTGATTCTCGAGTTATATAAATTAAATCCGCTTCAGTCTAATTTTAGTGCGGAATTTATTGTCTAAATACTAAATATTTAGATCCAATTACAAGTAAGTTATCAACGGATTGAGTTTGAATTAAATTTTGATTGATTTGAATTCGATTTTAGAAGTCAGTTTTAAATATGATCTGATAATTCGACGAATTTTTATTTTGTGGTCTATATTTGAAATCGTTAACAATCGAAATCTAATGCAAAAATTAAATTTGATCTAAATAACTTAATTAACTAAAATTTAATAAATTATATCTAAATTTTAATTAATTTTTTAAATAATCATTTAATTTATTTAATATTATATAAAAATATATAAAAAATACAGATTAAATATATGTATATCCAAACTCAATTTTATAAAATATAAAATATCAAATTTTAATTAAAATTCAGATATCGATAAAATATTAACTCATATCCGATTAATCTTATTTGAATTCGGATCTGGATCTGACTTATTTACAATTTACAACATTGTAAAAAAAAAAATTAATATGGTTGTTTCAGTTTTTATCTAAACACGTGTACAAATATAGTCCAAAACTGACAGGCAGACCACCACCGCCACCCCTACAGCTCCGCTGCCGCACACACCGCTCATCGCCGCCCCAAAATGCAACGATCCACTCTCTCTCTCTCTCTCCCCTGCTTCAATACTTCAATTTACGCGAAAACCACCTGCGACGGCCCACACCAAACCCCATCCTCTCACTACCAGACAGATTTTCCCCCGTTTCAAAACAAACAGAAGACGACCCACCGTTAATCAACAACCCTAAACATGTAACCCTATGCCTTACAATTAGTTAGGTCGAATCCATCTGCGCCGCACCCAAATTCACCACCCACCACCCGTCTTCCTAGAAGAGAGCGTGACTACGAATTACGACCTCCACGACGATTGGATTGATGGCTACAATCCCGCATGCAGTGAAATTAGGATCTCTGATTTGAAATTTTCTGGATTGGATGTTGTAGCCCATCCAAGCACGAAATTGGGATTTTTGATTTACTGAATTTGTTGGTTGTGAAATGAAAATTTCTGACTTGGGTGATGAATTCTGTGATATTCTGTGGACGAAGGGGGCTCGTTTGTGATTATGTGTGTTGTAGTGTGCATGTGTGTGTGATTTGAGAGTTTGTGAGAGAAAAATGGTGAAACTCAATGAAGAATAGAGTTGTTGACCAAATTGTTATGCTGTTCACACCAGATACTGGCTCTAGGAGGATGCCAGAAAACCATGGCTACCGCCTACAGAAGCTTCGAGGCAGGCGGTCACTACAAAAGAAAAATTTTGGAACAAGAATCTTCAGTAAGTTATTATTATATCTATGTAATTATAAAAACCAATGGGATGAGATTTTTCTAGAAGTATCTTAGATTGGTGACACGTGTTCTTGGCGTCAAAGAATTTTTTCTCGCCTCCGCCAGAGCCACGTGTCCTTAGTCCCAGAAACCTCCGTTTAAACTTGGTATCAATATATCTCTCTCGGCTGCAAACCCCTCGGTCTTGAGGGTACTTTCTATGACCCCACTCACTCGTTTTTATGCATGCTCATCGGCTCATAAATCCTTAACTTCTAATGATACTAGGGATTGACAGATGGATAACCTAAATTAGGCTAGGGACTACGAGAACACCCTACATAAAACATTTAAGGTGATTGGTTGAATTGGACATTCAACCAAAGAATGTGGCGATGAGTACGATATGAGTACGATATAAAGAGTAAAAAGAAAAGCTTGTCTCTGTTAATATGCGGCCAATAAAGACACGTATTTAATACGCCATCAGTTGACAAGACACTTATTGTGGCTTGATAAGCCAAAGAGTTACAACATTAAATGCCTGAGGATCCGGACTATTAATGCTACCACGTACAAAAAGGAATATTAAATACTCGGCTAATCAATGCTGGGACATTCCTCATCAAAAGTAAGAGACACACTATCCGATCTTTGAAGACTATCAACAGTTTATATTATTAGCAATGATGAGCCTTTAAAAGTATAAATAGTCCTCAAAAACACGTTGCAAAGGTACGCAATGTTGCCTCATAAGAGCTATACAATGCTTTCTTAATCCTCTTTCCTAAAAAAGACTGATTTAATCGTTCGAAGGGATACGCCGGAGAGCACTCCGACACCTTTCTAACCTGTTTTCTGTGTACCAGGAATTTCTTAGGGATCTTCGGAACCAGTTCACATCACCACCAACAATTCATGACCAGTTCTTAGGATCTCTTTGTCCCTCTCAACCTATTTCTTGTTGCCGGATCGACACCCCCAATAGTAATTCATCACTAGTCCTTAAGACTCCTTTGTCTCTCTCAACCTATTTCTTGTTGCCGGAACCACCATTCCGATGGGTTGAATCTCAACCAGAGTCAATCGGATATCCCAGAAACAAATCATTACAACAACCTAAGCTCCCTTTGTCCCTCGCAACCTATTTTCATTCTGTCAGAACCGCCTTCTCAACGAACCAGAGTTTATCGTGGAAGAGATCTATTCCCGTTTCAACTATTGTGCAAAAATCAACACGCACATAATGCAAATATGATAAATTAAGTCTCATTATTATTCTAAAGACTAGGTCATACGAAGTTTAGTTCCACAGTTGACATTTTCATTACATAGGTTTCTTGTTCTATGGAATATTGGTACCCAGCAACTACTAGTGCTACTACTATCCTGGAATGGTTCTCCTTTGATTGGGCAGTTGGGCACGGTGGTGCCGTACATACAATTATTACATGGCTTCCTTCGGCTCATATGTTGATTGAGTTTACCTTTGCTAATTCTAACGTTGGAAAGACCATTGTGTAGTCAATTTACATTGGCTATGTAACCTAGAAGTATACTTATTTCGTTTGTCTTCTTAAGCCATAATAAGTTCTGAATGATAGCATTAGAGTAAAATAAAAGGAAAAAAATTGAATAAAAGGAAAAAATTGAATAATTCTGAACTTGAATTCAGCAAAATCAAAAGTATAATGGTGATAATGAGATAATTAAGCATTTCCTCTGTTATCACCCATGATTATATTTTCAGTGACCTAATGTTTATAATAATAATTTGATGGTGTACAATTAATAGAAATTGTCCTTCTGTCCCCAAGGGAGAATCGGGGGAAGGGCTTGGGTGTTCAACAACAAGTTTTGAATTGTTGACTTTGAATTCTAGTTCATGACCAATTATATCATATAAGGTGTAGGTACCATGTTGTTGCTTCTAGGAAATTGTTGTTTTGTAGTTATGTAGTTCTCATGGTGTTGCTTCTTGGCAATTTTCGCATAACATATATCTTTAGTCAAATTGAAAATGCTCGTAAGGATACAAGCAATATGAGGTTAAGAGGCCAACTGAACAAGCACCCTAACTTGCTCAATGGATATCAGGAAGATGAACCTGACCCTATTACTTCTTACACCCTTCATCATTATGAGTCATTTGCATGCCCAATCCAATCCATCACATAACAATGGTCTCATTGTGGCAAAGGAGATTCCGGTAGGACTGATTCTTGATTTGGGATCATGGGTGGGGAAGACTGTTCATAGCTGCATTACGATGGCTATTTCTGATTTTTACGCTCAAAATAGTCACTACAAAAAGAGGATAGTTCTGCACACAAGGGATTCCCAAGGAGAACCCCTGCACGCTTTATCAGCAGGTGAGTTTGGTTTAGCTTTGCAGTTATAACCTGTTGAATAACATCAATCATTTAGGATACAGATGCACACATCTAAGTCTCCATATGCACACATCTAACCGATATGTTTTCCAGACGTCTAATTTTTGTTCCATCACTAAATGCAGCTCTTGATCTTTTGCAAAATAACAAGGTACAAGCCATCGTTGGCCTGGAAACGCCAATGGAAGCAAAGTTTTTAGCCCCATTGGGAGACAAAGCCAAAGTTCCTATCCTTTCTTTTACCACAATTCCTTCATCCTCCATTAAGTACCCTTATCTTATTCAAATTACAGAAGATGAAACCACTCACTTTAAAGGCGTCGCTACCATTGTAGAATCGTTTAAATGGAGGGGTGTCATTTTTATAAACGAGGACACTGATCATGGGAGGGAAATCTTACCATATTTAATCGAGTCCTTCCTGGAGAAAAACCTCCATATAGCTCATAGAACTGCCATTTCTCCCTCAGCCAATGATCATCAAATCCTTCAAGAATTGCATAAGCACAGGAGTATGCAAGCAGCGATATTTATTGTGCATATGTCACCTTCTCTTGCATCTCGCCTCTTCTTGAATGTGAAAAGGTTGGGAATGATGAGTGGAGGATATGCTTGGATTATAACGGAAACGACCATGAATCTTTTGCATTCCGCGGATTCAGAAGTCATCAAATCATTGCAAGGGGTATTGGGTTTCAAGTCTTACATTCCATCATCAAGGGAGCTGCACAACTTTACTAGAAGGTGGAAACATGAATTGTATACCAAGGACCCTACAATGGAAGTGAACGATTTAAATGTGTTTGGCATATGGGCATATGATGGAATTTGGGCACTGGCAAAGGCTGTTGAGAGGGTAGGGACTGAATCTCCACCTGTAACGAATAATCAAGGCACGGGATTGAGATTATTTGACTTGGCTGAAATCAGTGTCTCTCAAAGTGGCAGGACACTTCTAAATGAGATACTGCAAACCAAATTTAGGGGTTTAAGTGGTGAGTTTCAGATTATGAATGGAAAGCTGAAATCGCAGGAATTTGAAATAGTGAATGTCATAGGCAAGGGGGAGAGAACAGTAGGATTTTGGACGTCAACAGATGGAATCAAGAGAGAAATGTACCGATCGGTCCACGGTCTTGAAACCATTATATGGCCAGGCGGGTCTACAATTATTCCAAAAGGTTGGATGATGTCAATGAGTGGCAAAAAGCTCAGGGTTGGTGTTCCAACAAATCCAGGGTTCAAGGAGTTGGTACATGTGGACCAAAATCAAGCTAATGAAACAACTGTCACTGGTTTCTGTATAGCTGTGTTTAAGGCTGCCATTGAAGCCTTACCATTCGAAGTACCTTATGAATTTATTCCATTTGTGGGTGCCGATGGAAAGAATTTAGGAACGTACAATGATCTTACGGATCAGGTCTATCTACAGGTATGTCTAGTTCCCTCGTAGAACCAGTTCCACATGAGGGCAAATTACATTTTGCATCCATACATTATTGTCTTGATGTCACTTCATTAGTTTTACTATTGAGTTTCTCACATTGCCCCATCATTTGAATTGGTTCGACATTACTTCAAAGCCAATGTCCGGTATATTTTGGATGAGAAATATCCACGTGTCAACAGATTTTGTGGCAAACTGAAATAAAATCACATATTTTAGAGTATAGGTGATCCAACTTTCCATCCAAATGTTAATTAGAGTGTGTAATGTGAGAAACATGACAATTGAGAAGACAATATGAGACAAGAAGGGTATAATTGGGGGTCAAGGTATAATTTACCATTCCTATTGCACAAAATCTGCAAATGTTTTTCTTATTTTCCACACACCAGCACAAACATGCGAATATTGTATTTGTAGTTGTGTATAGATTAATACTATTAAAAAAGGGTGCGGTCGGTCAGAAATGCTAGATTATTAAATTTTGTGACCAAATTTTGAGTTTAAATAACATGACAGCTGACTTGGCTTTTTTGATTGATGTCATTTCATTTGGACCTCAATAAAAATTTCAAATAATCAGTTGCCATGTTATTTGGACTTTAAATTTGGTTAGTCTAGTATTACTGATACTGATACAGTAATGTTATACTGACCAAATTTTAAGACCACTTTTACAGTCCAAATGACATGGCAGTTGACATAGACTTTTTTATTTGGTGTCATGTTATTTGGATCCCAATAAAAATTTTAAATAATATGCTGTCATGTTATTTGGATTCTAAATTTAATCCCAAAATTTAATCAATATAACATTAATCTTACTTATATCTTATGTTTTCTTTCATTTAACCACTTGTAAATTCCCTCTATCACACATAACCACGCGTAACTTCCCCTCTACAACATTTAACCAGATTTATCTATTCTAATAATTTTTAGTATCTTTTTCCTTCTTCCTATCAGCACATGGGTACCATGTGTGCGCAACCTTGGTTAGGGCTGTTAATCAAACTGAGTTACTCAAGTTTCGCTTAAGTTCGGCTCGTTCAGGTTCGGTTCGTTTTTTAAACGAGCCCGAACTTGAACAAGTTTTTAGGCTCGTTTAGAAAACAAGCCCTATAAGCTCGGTTCAAACTCGACGAGCTTGACTCATTTATGTACAAATTACTCGAGTTCGACTCGGATTCGACTCATTCAGGCTCGGTCGTTTCTTAACGAGCTGAACTTGAATTTTTTAAAGCTTGATTAAGAAACAAGTTTTTCAAGCTCAGCTTGAACTCGACTGGAG